AAAAATATAAAAAGAATTGTTTATTGAGAAAAAGCAGATTATTACACAAATTATGTATTCTTAGCAGTTTAAAACATAAAACCATCACCTAAGTGAATGATTTTCTAAACGAGAAAGAGAAATACCCTGCACATAGTAGGTATTCAACATATATCTCATTATAATTGTTAGCTATAGATTATTATCAGACAAGTTTTCTTAACTCATGAACAAGTACTCCATATACTCCCACTAGAGATACCATCTGATTCCCCAATTCTCAGAAATGCTCTCTGTTAGTAAATTTACAGTCATTCTTATACTTAACTATTAGAATTCTATAAGGTTTTTTATGACACTCTGGCAATTACATTATAATTTCCTCACCAATCTAAGAACTCTTATCCACCATACAATCTATAATATCAATGTTATTTTCACTACGCCAAAAAATAAAGTGTTTTTATTGCAGTAATTTATCCTGCAGATGTGTTATTTATACACATACAACTATTATAAATCAAGTATCGGAGAGAAGAAAGAACAAGAATTACACACATAAAACAAAAAAGGGGGTGAGGTGATGTACTAGTGAACAGCAGGAAATTAAACTCCCAGCCTTGCTTCCATCAAGAAGTTTTGACAAGATAAAGATAAAGAACATAGCTTAAACAGTTTGTGAACATCTGCACAAGTCCCAAAATGATATATGATTTTTTACAAGTTTTATTGCTAAGTTGAAGCTGTTTTGTTAAACAGTTGAACAGGTGCATCTAAATTTGACATGTTATGGAAATATATGAGACCAAGATGAATGATTGTAACCTAAATTTAGGAATCATTTTAAAGGAACAATAAGATAATAACTGCTAAAAAGTTATTTTTAATAGAATCTTTCCACATTAATATTCTCAAAGGTATACTGTGGTCAAGTTACAAAGTGTAGCATTTGTGACATTCAGCAAGCTTTTAAAGAATTAAGATAATTTTTTGATACCAATTTCAAGTTAAATGTACTTCAATATAACTCTTAACAAAAATAAGCTAAATTTAAAACAAACAAAAAAAACCAGCATGCACCAAGATAGCTCCAACATACATGAGATAAGAGCAAAAAACAAATAAAAAAAATACTTAACTTAAAAAAAACTTGTTGGGAATTTTTTATTCTAGAAATTAGATTTCCTTTCCATAACCCACCCATAATCTGAAAGTATGTTTCTTCCTAATGCTTTTTTTTTTTTCTATATGTGCCTATGAACATCTTCCCGACATATATACTGCCACAAAGAACCATAATTCAAGTTGCTCAAACACTGGGTCAAACCCCCATAAGCTTTAAATAACTTTAATGTATCAAGGCAACTCATGTGAAATCAAATGGGTTGAAGTCACATTCTTCGAGCTTCAACAAGACCAGTAATTTACTGTCTACTTAAACATATCATGCATGAGAGTTTGGTTGTGTGATCTTCCATACTCACCTTCCAATTCAATGGAGTCAGCAATGGAAAACGTGCCATGTATCACGTAATGACCAGGACAAACAATAACAGTGTCACCTTCGTAGCAGGCATTTATAGCAGACAACGGATCACTATGGAACTGAAAAAACAACATATTGCAAATACACACCCCTCCAAAAGCAACTGGAGTATTACTCCAGGTGCCTTCATCTCT